AGCTGACCACCATCTGAACTGATATAATCCACACACCCAGGGCATCAATTTCCAGTATGCTTCTGTGCCTATATGCCTGACCTCACTGAAGAGACTTGTTGGAAGTATTCTGTGTATGTCATAGCCTATCCAGACACTACAGTGGGATCATAAAAACCTGGCATATGATCATCTGTGTTGTCATAAGTTTGAAAATATGTCAACTACTACTTAAGATCATGTAGTTAAATGTACCTGTGCCAAAGACCCCATCAGAAAGCCAGTAGGATTACTACCACCATACTTGGTGGCCTTCAGGTCATTAAAAACCTGAAACACTGGAATTTGTCACTGACTTACTAACCTCCCGTACCAGTAGTCATGTTAAAAATATACTTCATGCCCAGCTATGGCCCATTACTTCCGCTGAGCCCACTTTCCTGTTCCTTAGGGAGATGTTTAGTGCCATAATTGCTTTCTCATCCAACTTCTGATTACTATTGTCAGTTTTTTGCTTGTCGGTTCCATAACATTTACTCTCCTCCAAAACATTTACCTCTTTGTAACATATTATCCCGTTGCCAGACAGGCAAAAGCAGAATGCACAAACTATGATTTGAAAAAGCACACTCAAATTTTTCATCACCATTAAATAATTGATTAGAAAAATTGCCCACAGCAAGATTATACAAAAACTACCCATTCCATTTTTTTTCTCCGTAACGCATAATTCCATGAAAAGTATGATTTTTTACCCCTACTTGTCATTTCATCACATTCCACACTATGGTCTCAGTGGTTAATGATTACCAAAGGAAAGTTGGAAGCTAAGCAGCTTGTGGACCTAGGTAGGTCCATAAAGAACCCTGTAAATGGCTCACTAAGAATGAGAGGTCAGGTCAATCATTACTCAGTCAGAAACTCTCTTGTAGATCAGGGACTATAAAAGATCTGGGCATCCAATTTTGGGAAAACTGGGGGTGAGCTAATCTTTTTTTTTTGGGCAATGGGAAAAACTGCAATAATGTTTACATGAATTATCCTTTTCTGATAGAGAGCCCCAGTATAAGGGATAGGATAGACTTAGAGTCAGGAAGAACTGGGTTCAAATCCTACATTATATCCTTACCAGGTATGTGACCCTAGAAAGTCATTTAACTTCTCTGATCCTCAGTTTCCTCATCTGTAAAGCGGGAATAATCATAGCACCTGCCTCACTGGGAAATGCTATGTGTGTCAGGCAACTCCTACTATGTGCTAGGCACTGTGCTAAGCACTAGAGATACAAAGAAAGGCAAAAAGTCCCTGCCCTTGAGTTCATAACCTAAAAGGGGAAAAAACATATAGACAACTATGTACAAACAAGCTATATACAGGATAAATATGAAATAATCAATTGAAGGAAGACACTAGAATTAAGAGAGATTGGTAAAGGCTTCTTAAAGAAAGTCAAATTTTAGCTGAGACTTGAAGGAAGCCAGAGAAACTAGGAAACAGATGAAGAGAGACAGCATTTCATGGATTGGAGACAGCCAATGAAAATACGATGAAGTGCCTTTTTCAAGGACCAGCAAGGAGGTCAGTGTCACTGGATCAAAGAGTACAATGTGGTGATGTAAAGTGTAAGAAGATTGGAAAGGCAAGGGGAAGGATAGGTTATAAAGGGCTCTGAATGCCAGAGGATTTTATATTTGATCCTAGAGGTGGGAGGAGGCCATTGGAGTTTACTGAGTAGGGGGATAACATGGTTGAACCTATGCTTTGGGAAAATCATTTTCACACCTGAGTGAAAGATGGACTGAAGTAGGGAAAGACCAACCAGCAGGCTTTTGCAGCAGTTCAGGCATGAGGTAATCAGAGCCATACCAGGGTGGTGGCAGTATCAGAGGAGAGAAGGGAGCATATATAAAAAATGTTGGGAAAATAAAATCAATAGGCCTTGACAACAGATTGGATTTGGGGTGGAGGGGATGAAAAAGAGTGAGAAGGTAAAGATGACACTTAGGTTACAAGCTTGAGTGACTGGGAACAATAACATGGGAATTTGGAAGGGGGAGGGAATAATCAGTTCAGTTTTGGATACGTTGAGTTTAAGATGTCTGATAGGCAGTGAAAAATGAAAAACTAGGGGTCAGCAGAGACTCAATGGGAGGCAGAACAGACACCTCCCCAACTCTTCAACAAGGGAGACGTTCATTCTCTGCCAGGAGGAAAAGCAGGATGGCTTTTCTGGGGCCACTCTGCTCTCCTCCGAGACAGGGCAGAAGTATACCTATCTGCCCCCTTAAATACTGTTCATCTAGGATATGATCAGGTTTGAGTGAACATCAGATGGCTCTGACATTTTGGCGGGAAAGGAGAACTCCAAACTCTGTATTTAAGGCTTGACCTCTTTTCCGCTAAATACAAGCTTCACAATGAACATACATAGTGAAAAGCAAAAAGAAAAAAGAAAAAAAAAACCTCATTTCTCCCAATTGTAGCAAAACAGAAAGCAGAGAAGGTATGCACAGGAGAATATATACCAGACAATATTTAAGTGAAGGAGCTGTCCCATTTGGAGCAAGATCACTCAGCTGAACTCAGCTCAGAGTGTCTTTGTTTCACCCAAGACGAAAACTCCCCAGAGTTTCTTGTATAGCTAGATAGGGATATGATGGAGGCTGCCAGCTTCTCTCACGTTTTCCCAGAGTCTTTTCCTTCAGCAACCTGAAATGGGGTTAGCCTCTGCCATCTTCCATCTTGAAACTGAAAGCCAGAAGCCCCTAAAGTGACTTGATGCTTGAAGAGTCCCAAAGAAGACTTGAAGCTTGGAGAGTCCTAAAGGGGACTGGCCCCAAAAGAGAACTGGAGAAGGCTGTAGCTCTCTCACCAAATCCTCCCACCCTTCACACAGGGCAGGGCCTTCATCTCCACCAATAGGGACAATCCCATACCAATGAACTTTAGAACAGAGATTAAACATGAAATATAGTTTTTCTTCCCCTCCATGCTACAGAATCCCTGGCTTCCTTCAAGACTCAGCTCCAGTGCCAACTACTACAAGAAGCCTGTCCTGATCTTCCCCAGTTGCTTTTCCCATCCCCTCAAAAATTATTTTGTACCTACTTGGCATATGTTTTATTTAATTTTCTTTAAACATGTTGTTCCCCCCTCTCCCCTCCTCAAAAAAAAAAGAAAGAAAGAAAGAAAAAGAAAGAAAAAAAAGAATATATAAGTTCCTTCAGGATGAGAATTATCTCAGCACAGAACCTGGCATATAGCACTTACTAAATGTTTTTTGATTGATTGAACACAGCAATACCAAAATCAGATCCTAGGGCATCCTCCATCCCAAATATCCATTTAATTGTCAATTTTTTTATTTCTACTTCCACAACAGCTCACAGTAATCCCTTTTTTCTACTCACATGACCGAACCCCCCCCCCCCTTTAGGCCTTCATCACCACTTGCCTGAACCATTGCAGTAGCCTTCTAATTGGTCTTCCGGTATCAAATCCCTTCCCTCTCCATTCATTCTCCACACAGCTACAAAGTGATTTCCCTAAAGTGCCAACCCAACTCTTGTCACTCCCCTTCTCTATTCATATACTCCAGTGGCTCCAAAATTGTCTCCAGGATTAAACACAATCTCTTTGATTTGTCATTTAAAGCTCTTCATAGGCTGGCTCCAATACGCCTTTCCAACCTTATTATGCATCACTCCCTTTCCTGCACCTTATGATCCAGCCAAACTGGCTTTGCTACTCCTCACACAAAATGTTCCATCTCCCATCTCAATGCCTTCACATGGGGCTGACCTCATGCCTGGAATCCACTCCCTCCTTGCATCCTCCTCTTAGAATCACTTGTTTCCTTCAAGAGTCAGCTCCAACTTCTACATAAAACCTTTCCTGACACCCTACTCTCTTCCAGCTCCTAGGACCTTCCCCAAATTCCCCAAATATTTATCTGGTTTACACTTATTTATGTACTTTCTAGAATGTAAGCTCCTTGACAGAAATGGACTTTATAATCCTTAGCTCCTGGCACATACTAGGTGCTTAACAAATGTTTGTTGACTGATATTATTAAAGACTTTCTCCCAGGTCCACACCAATGCAGTAAGTAATAATAGTAACAAAAATAATAGCTAGTGTTTATATAGTATTTTGAAGTTTGCAAAACACTTTACAAATATCTCATTTTTTCTTCACAACTCTGGGAGGTAGGTGCAGTTGTTATCCTCATTTTATAGATAGGCAGTTAAGGCAGACAGAGGTGACTTGCCTAGGATACCCCAGTTAGGAAATGCCTGAGGTTGGATTTGAACTCATGTCTTCCTGACTCCAGATCCAGCATTTAATCTACTATAACTAGCTGCCTCTAAACATAATAATGTGTGACTGAAAAGGGTAAAATCTCCTTCTTTGCAGAGAAGTACAGGGATTAAAAAAAAAAAGGAAGATGTCTAAAAATTACAACAGAATGAAGAAATATACTCAATTACATCTTAAGAGTTTGGAGGAGGGGGGCAGCTAGGTGGCGCAGTGAATAGAGCTCTGGCCTTGGAGTCAAAAGGACCTGAGTTCAAATCCAGCCTCAGACACTTAACACTTACTAGCTGTGTGACCTTGGGCAAGGCACTTAACCCCCACTGCCTCACCAAAAAGAAAAAAAAAAGAGTTTGGGAGCTTAAAATGTTTACTCTAAAATATTTTAAAGCATATTGTTTGGTTAAGGCTGCATAGCTTAAATGAAGAACTTTAAAATACATAACAAGGTGAAAATTTATAATATCTGTGGGAGCTGAAGTAGAGCCACACTTTGAAAATAAGTCAAGACACTCACCCTATAGTTCAATTCATGTAAAGAGTATCATACTGCCACCTACTGGCAGGAAATATATGCAACATTTTAAGATGCAAAAATAATCCTAAGAAAGTGGAAACTGCTAAACAAAATTCACTGCTTGGAAGATTTGTCATAGGTTGTCTCTCTAGAAAACTTGATGCTTAATAAAGCTGGATAAAGTACTGTATAAAGACTTGAACACAATAATTTTATTTACACAGTGCCTCAAGTGTTAATTCTAAGAAGCTGAATAAGAGGTTTCGTTTACTGAATGGTTTTCCATAAACAACATATTCATAGTCTCCGGTGTGAGTTTTCTTGTGTAAGAACTCAAAATGAAGGCTTTCTCATGTTCTTTGCAAATGAAGGCTTTCTCAACTTCTCTGCAAATGAAGGTATTCTCACATCCTCTGCATTCACAGGTATTCCCTCTAGTATGAAATCTAATGTTTAATATTGTGTCCCTTCATAGTGAAAACTTCCCATATTCACAGGATCATAGGGTTGGAACAAATTCCAAAGTCATCTATTCCCACCTTTATTTGCCTCCCAAGGCAATCCATTCCACTTTGTGGACTCATTGTTTTTTGATGTGTGAATTCGCTGATGTCTAATGAGGACTGAATTCTGGCTGAAGGCTTTCCCACATTCATTACACTCATATGGTTTTTCTCCCGTGTGACTTCTCTGGTGGCGAATGAGACCTGAACTCTGGACGAAGGCTTTCCCACATTCATTACATTTGTAGGGTTTTTCACCTGTGTGTATTCTCTGATGTTTATTAAGGCTTGAACCCTGACTGAAAGCTTTTCCACATTCATTACACTTATATGGTTTTTCTCCAGTGTGAACTCTCTGGTGTCTAATGAGGGATGAATTCAGAATGAAAGCTTTTCCACATTCACCACATTCATAGGGTTTCTCTCCAGTGTGAATTTTTTGATGTTGAATAAGATTTGAGGCATCACTAAAGGTTTTTCCACATGTATTACATGCATAGGGTTTCTCTCCAGTATGTACTCTTTGGTGCTGAATAAAGTTTGATGGATCATTGAAGGTTTTCCCACATTCATTACATTTATAGGGTTTTTCTCCTGTGTGAATTCTCTGGTGTTTAATGAGCCTTGAACTCTCACT